CAGCTTGTTGGATTTTACAAGGTAGTGAATTAAAAAGGGCTGTGCCAGAAAATCTAAAAGTACGTTTGCCAAGGCTAAGTTTGGGTTTGGGTAGATGGAAGTCAGCCTTCCTTCGAGTGTTGTAACCATGTACATTGTAGTTCCTAATGAAATAGTTACTTAAATACTGAGGGTAGTACAAGAGATGGATAATTTTTTTGAGAAGAACCAAATTTTTTTCTTGAAATTGACTTTTTACATGAATAAAACATTGCATCGACATTGGCGCATGGGCAAGTCTTTGCAGTCACCATATTCTAATGGGGGAAATTTTGACCCAATTTGGCCTAAACTCTGGTAGGTGACCACCTTCCTTAAGCAACCACCTAGGCTTGACATTTTGGGTAATCGCTTACGGGAGGTTCATCCACATAGTTATCACACTGTACTAGCATAGTAGTACAGAACAACTTTATTTGCATTTGTGTAAAAAAAAGTTATAACATTTACAAATTGCAAAGAAGGTGCCAACAGGGAAGAACTTAAAGATAAACTAATATGTACAGTATACTTATTAGTTATTACTAATTAATTAAGGCATCCATCCATAACAGAGGGGTACCTAGGACTTAAATACTTGTACAAAAGCTTCTTGAATTTACTAACATTGTCTGCCTTGGCAACATTGTTTGGTAAGGAATTCCAGTCATCAATGTCTGTGTTCCAAAAAGAATGCTTAAAAATATTATTTTGTTCGTGCATAGTGTTTTCCAAATTTTACATTTGTTAGTATCTTGTACAGCTGTTGGAGAACTTAACATGATCATCTAATTTAATATTACAGAAACCTTTGATATACGTTTCTTGAAAAGTTGTACAAGAGTTAAATAACGTCGTCAGGTTTTCAAATGCATCCATCTTCGCTTAACAGACAGTCATTCGTCATATGCAGTGTCTTTGCCAAGAATCCACCTGAAAGTATTTCATTAATAATTACTGATAATAGTAAATTAATATTTTAAGAGGAGGCCTCCAATCACCTGGAGGTGGTTTTCAAGAGGGCCCCCTAAAAAATAAAAGTCTAAAATATATCTTAAATGTCTAAAATACAGAAGTAATAAAAGCTAAAAACTTAAGACTACAACTAAGGTTTAAAACTAGAACTGAGATTAAATATACTACTACTAACTTGAGTGTAGCACTACTCAAGTCACTTTCTGTTGTAGTACACTCTGGATGTTGGTGTGTTAGTACAGACCTGTGATTGACAGCAAGGTGGAGTGAAGTGAGAATGTAACCAGATTAGTCTTTCACATGTTTCTTTTGTCAAGACTAGGCTGGTTAGACTCTTACTTCACACTTGACTCCTCTGGATATGACTTGTTCCACTCACTTTTACACTGTTTTGATGTGAGCATGTGACCTGTAAAAGTGAAGGGGGGGGGGCAGTGGTTAGTGTGCAGAAACTGGAGATAACAACAAGCCTGATGAAACAGCAGGTTCAAGCGTACATGTGACTTTTACATGTCTTGGAGTTTTTTGTTAAATTTGAAGTCATGGCTATTGCTAAATACTGTTTGTTGATTAAAAGGCAGTCCCATGCCCAAAACAGCACTTCACTGTTCTAATCTTGATTTAGCTGCCCAAAATAAAGCATGACGAAGAATAACAATTATTCAGGTACGGTTTGGCTACCAAAGTGGACGTTGAGTAAAGATCGTAAGTAGGTAGCCACATACAGTGAGGCTCATTGTTATCAGACTTATTACCAATTGAACATATGCAAGGCTGTGGTCTAAGAAAAATAAATAAATTTATTGACTAACTTTATCTTTTTGTAGATATGGATCCGGGAAAACAGGGGCAACCTCAAAACCCACACCTACCCCACCCTTGTCAGCAAAAGGACCAATCACAAAGCCCAAGAGCTCAGGCAAAAAACACAAGATAAAATCTCACAATAAGCAAGAGAAAGCAACAAATTTGAGCTCACCATATGCTTTCTCATTATCTGCAACACCACCGGCTCCAACAGCAATAAACCAAGGCATTCCCTTGGGACAATCACTTCTGGTCGTGACAATCAAGGACAAGACTGTTAAGGTTCATATGCCGTCAGACAGTGCACCAAGGTCACCTACCTTGGTAGAATGTAAAGCAATTATCAAGCATCAACAGGAAACAAACAAAAGACAGGAACAGGAGGTATGTATTGGAACAAAGTTGACAACTAGTTCTGTTGTTCAACAAACAGAGTATGGTTTGAATTGCATTTGGAAAACCTTTGTGTTCACCAAGTAGTTGAAGATTTGAATAGAGGACTTCAGACTGACTTCATTTCACCCAGAATAGTCATAACTAAATACAAATTATTGCTGTGAAGATAACTTGACAAACTGCTAGGATGGGAGTGGTGTGCAACCTGGAATAGACATGCCTCACTCATAAAATAGTGGAAGAAATTTAATCTACCCCCAAAAACTCAACTCAACTCAACTTCTTTATTGCACACTATTTACAGTGTTTAGATGTACATTAGTCGGTATTATAGCATGTGGTTGCTAATGAAACAAGTAAGTGTACAACTGCTTCCTCTTTAATTCCCAGTATCCTGATCCTCTTATAGTGTTCTCCTTATATTAATTTCATCATTGGTTTTTCAGCTTTCAAAACTCAAGTCAGACTTGAATGATGCCTTGTACTCTGACAAGTGGACACCTGATGCATATCTCGTAGCCAAGTCCTATGCGACAGATGACGTGCCGACTAATACAAGGTGTGTGAAACATCCTCATTCGAGGTTTTACAAGAAACATGAAATTCAATGATTGCAATTTTTTCCAGACATAATACACCAGCAAGCAGATCTCTTCCACGATTAAATTCAAGAGAACAGACACATTCGGGAAGGTGAGCTATTGAAATTATACCAATTAAAGATGACATTTTTTTTATGTGTGCATTTGATGCTTTTCTTCCTCGCCATATTTTTTGAGTTTAAGAACTGGAAACTCGTGTCCGTCTAAAGTGTGTGATAAAAGTGTTGCTCGATTCCTTTCTGTAGTTGTTCAGCTCTTCTAAATAAGCAAATAAATTACAGTGATTGGAGAGGAAGCTTTGCCAACCATAGCTGGTTTTCACGCAGATCCTCTGTCAAGGTTGTTGTCATTGTTCTAATTATGTGTTTTGAATTACTTTTCTTATTTCACAGGTTAGCGGCAGGGAGAATGCACGTTGTTCATGACAGCGTATCTCTACCAGTTTTGCGCCCAAATGGTGGTGCTAATGTTGCCGATAGAAAACGTCGACAGCAAGCACTAGTTAGAGGAAGAGGAAAAAAAGACTTCTATTAATCTGAGTGACAAATTCAATCTCTAATTATTCTGTTGTCGAGATAAAACACATTTTTATTGTAGTACTAGAATTCGATAGAGTAAATACCCACATATTGTATAGTCGTTTTTCATGTTCAGAATTGTATATAACTTTTGGTCTATGTTAGCTTAATTCTTTAACGTTTTCCATTTTCCCTCTCGTTCTATCTTAGTAATAAACACAGACAACAGCCAGTGATATGGGATGGAGGAATTATTTAATAAAATTATTTAAAGCAAAGAGAGTGGTGGTGGCCTTCCTTCCTTTTGTTTCTTGGCGTTAAGTATTTCTTCGTTGTGGAAGCTGCTTGCTTGTATTTTGTAACTGTGAAGCCACGACGGTAATAATGAAAAATAAAACAATTTGTCTCGCGGATAGCAAACTTTGGCTTTCTTTGCTTAAGTGCGGGGAGGTGTTTTAGTTTATGGCTGAAGATTCGAGGCAGTTCAACTCCCCGGAAGACTTGTTACATGGTTTGAAGGATGGTTATGGTGGTGTAAAAATCCTTGTTTTTGTCACGCATACCTCTTGTTGTAACAGTAACCTGTACCCGTTGACCGTTAAACGCAAAAATGCAGAGAACTGTTTCTCTATCTTGGCATCCCTTCGGTTACAATGTAAAGTGGATTAGAGCTGGGCCGAAAATGATGAGATACCTTTCAGTTACTTTCCCCGTGAGTGTTCCCCTCATACTGCAAATGGGACTGCCCACATGAAAATGAAAGAAAAGCTTCTGCTTGCTACGATTGCGGATATCGTTTCCTTTCCGCAAGGATGAATACGTATGCAACAGTATGCAAACATCGTGTAAACTTCAGTAGGCATTCATGCCCCAGAAGGAGCCCGTCTTATTATATCGCTAACTTCGTGAGTGAACTACTGAGCTAAATCAGGGCGAAACTAAGAAGATTTAATCGCCCTGGCTAAAGCGTACGTTTTGATTATGATGGGTAGCTCTGCATCAGTCAATTCGAGCAGTGTCCATCCCCCCGGCGCAATAACCGGGCATTTGCATATATCTTAATTCTAGGGGTGGGACATTTGAAGTTTTATTATTGCTTCCCTATTATTGCCATTTCTGGTTAGCTGCGGTCATATTTTAGGGCCGTGTACTAATTCCTATTTCAGAAGTCTGAAATGCGGTATCGATGTTTGCCACAGGTCTGAAATAGGGTATGGAAAATCACAGATTTTGTTCTGAAATAGGGTAAAGGTTTCAATTTTTAGGCTGCACACCCCTACCAAATGTAAAAGCATTGGGAACTACCTTTTCAATGAGCTCTATGGAATTTTGAGCAATGTTAGTTTACGGATGAGCCTGGAGACGGGGCATTTGCTCTCTTTTTCTGCTCTCCGGCCTCAGGGCATTTAGCCCATTTATTTGTCCCCTCCCCGAGAGGATTTGCCACTATTGACAGGGATAGGCACTACTGGAAATGACTGATGTACTGCTCGCAGGATTGATGCGGCTGTAGCCTAGACCTACAGTGAGGGACCAACATAGGTTTGGCGGGTTGCGGGATGGGAATAAACATAGTGGGGGGATGCGGGATTGAAAAAACCTATTTGATGTTGGATCCTCTGCAGTCATGATGGGATCAGTGATTTGTCACAATGAGACAAAACATCACAAAAGTGGGCTTTTATTAAACTAAGACCACTGTAGGAGAGGGAGATGTATAGTTTTTGGTGTGATTGCCATGGTAATTGAAGCGAGACGCGACGTCTTTTTTGTATTCAGGTTACGGCGCGTTCCTGTGTGATTGAAAGAGTCTGAAACCTAGAAGACTGGTCACATGGTTGTTTGAAACAAAATGGCGGTTTGCTTGTAGGGAATATAGCCTTCACTTCTTCGTAATATTTCTTCGTTTGTTTGCGATGGTATTTCCAGATTTCCAAGAATAGGCAGGTGGGTAAAGCAAGTGAAAAATGTAAAAATTCTACAATATTGGCGGGTTGCTTTTGGATCGAGCAAATTTTTTTCAGCAACCCAAAGTAGTCTTACATGCACCGATGGCCAGAGATGCACGTAGCAATTTGCTTAAAACTCAACTACTAACGATGATAAAATATGGTCATACCCTGTTACTGCTAGCAGCGCCCCCTAGACCTTTTCTAGGCAAAATTGAAGCAGTTACAAAGATGTCATCTTCATCAGAAAAGTTGGCTTTTTATGTGTGTGTTTATGTTCCGGATTGAACGCAACTGCTTTTAAGCTTATATTTGACTGAGCTATATATTTGACATTTTCATATGTGCCTCACATGTGACAAAATTTATAAATGTGTTCTATTGTGAACTTTTATTGTTGAGGACAATTTTGTGCTGTCGATCATAACGTGCGGGCCTCTTATTATCGTTCAATACTTCACGTGCCTTTAGGTATATGGAAAAGCTTCACCTCATCTATATAAGTCTTACCTCCCAGCACTGTCAGGGCTGATTTAGGGAGTTGAATAGCGATGTTATTGAAAATTGTTCAGAAAAGATTAAATTACGATTCCCCTAACAAAATGATCACTTGAAATCCTCAACTGAAGTGTGATCAGTTACAACTTAAAATGTATCTTATATGTAATCTGATCTGAGCTTCTTTCATACCTTTTGTAAATGTGTTTCAGGATCATGACAACTGGTATTCTCTCACAACCAGCCCAGGTGGGTTTTAACTTCCCAGGCTTAAGTCAACCAGTCAGTGTTCCTCAGCGTTCAATGCCGATACCACATGGTGGACCTGCCTCCCATCAAATGAACCAACTGCAATTTAACCTAGGAATACCAACATCTGCTGAGCAATTTACAACAAAGTTTAGAAAACCACAGCCAATAGTTATAGAGAAAATAAGTGAGCAGCCTCAAGTGCCACATGTAGTTCCTCATAGCCATGTGACTACTCCAGTTGTTTATCCTTTGGTGTCGTCAGTCTCATCATCTATATCAAGTGATCGGCTTGCACTTGCTGTTCATTTGGCCAAGAAAGATGTTAAAAAGTTAAAAGAAGTTGGCTTTGAGAATGTTTTTGTTTCACAAGAGGAAGAGACACAGAACAGGCATGTTACGGCTACAGGTAAAGAAAAAGGTGTTTCAGGAAAGAAGGTTAGAGGGAAGAGTGGCAAATCTAGACCTCAAGCTGTTTCGTCAGAAGACACTGTCACTTTGCGTGACAGGGTTCATAACACTGTAAAGAAGCAGGAAGCAGCAGGAAAGAGACAGCATAGGTTATACTTTTACCCAGCTCCTAGAGAAGAAGATGATTTTGATTCAGATGGAGAAAGGATGCAGGCTCATGAAATCAGGAAACTTCGTAAAGAGCTCCAACAGTACATGAAACAAATGGAGGAATTGAAAAATGAGAGACCTGAAGTCTTGAAGAACAAAGATAAAAGGCTAAAAAGAAGGAGGGATGGAGATGTGAGACTCTCTGATGAAGATGTAGACCAGCGGCAAGTGGTGAGAGCTGAAGAACAGGCTGCCCGGTCGGCAAGGATGCTTTATGTGCTACAGAGACAGGTGATTAAGTTTGAATTTTACTATAGAGGTGTGTAGTACCTACTTGACACTTAACCTCATACATCACTGGAAGCCATGTCCAGCTTTTTGTAGTTAATGTGACCTCAATTTTTATGGTGACAGTTTCACAAAAATTAAGTCTTGAAAAATTACAACTAGAGAAGCTTACAACCAAGTTCTTAAAGTTTAGGTAAATGTTTCGGTTGACGCACGATTGGCTACTGGGAATATGTGGCAGGTTGGTAACAAACATGACATACAATGATGCACTACAAAAACTGGATTCACCTTAGGCCTAGTTAAAATGTGGGGTTAAAAATACCAAAAGGGATACTGGAAGTAACATATACAAAATACACTGCATTACAGAATAGTTTTATGCATCTTAAAATACTTACTGTAATTTTAAAACAGACATGAACAACAAAAAATCTAAGTTTGGTTTAAGTGGGAAGGTCAGCCTAGCCTGCCTGCCTTTCATGTCTCATTCCAAAACATTTTATTGCACTTCCATATCCAAGTTCTCACACATGTAAGTTAATTCAATAGATGTTTGTTTTCTTTTCATCCTCCTTTTAGGTTCGGGAAATTGAGGATGAGCTTAATAAAAAGAGAAGAGGAATAAAACATACCAAGAAGGTACATTTCTTAGGGGTCGCACATTGGGATATGTTAGGTTATTGTGAGACTTTTCCCACTGCCTTATAATATAGTAACTGTTAGAACTTTACATTTGATTCAAGAGAGTTAGTTCTTAGACAAAGTGTTCTGAGTCCGGTTGGACTGTTTGCATCATCTCATTTTCAAAGGGTTTCTGGCAATTGTCTTTCTCAATAAAGAACTGAGAGTCTCTAAAATTTAATATTCTTCCTTCCAGATTGGCAGTTTAAAGCCTGAAGTGATAGGTTTTGTATGGCAAAAACTGTAACTATTGTAAATTAAAATGCTCTAGTCTAACCTAAAGACTGATTTTTAGAGCCAGACTTTGAGTCGTCTGGCAGCAGCACACAGGGGAGCTGTCAGAGCACTGCAGACATTTGTTAGCCATGCTCCTCTTCAGCCCAAGGTTGGTCATGGTTTGCCGCCAATGTACCAAGAACTGTCTGCCCTCATTAGACAGTTGTCACTTTTGGCAGCACAGTTACACATCGGTGGAGAAGAACTCTTTGATGAGGTGAAGGGAATTGAGAATGAGGGAAGAAAGGTCAGTGAGCTCTTTACCAGTTCCTTGCTGGTATGTTAAACTCTTCAAAACTTACCACATATCCTTGTTTAGAACTGTTGAATTTACAGTTTCTATCCTGCCATTTACTGTGAAAATTCGGTTTTGCAAGTCATGTACCAAGCCAGCTTTCTTCCTGAAAAATAGCATCTAAAAAACGATCCCTGTTCATAGAGATTAACAATGATTTAAATGAAAGACTTTTGCCTATTGATTCATAATTTACCAAATACTGTAGCCCATCAATCAATGGATGCAACGTCTGGAACATTAAGGTTTAGGTTTGTAAATAGTTCCTTAATCTTAACTTTTAGGTGTACGCAATTAGTAGAGGGTTTGACCCTCAGCTATTTTACCAAGACACATAATTTAATAAAGTTGTTGTTGACTACAGCTACATGCATGTAGCTTTCTACACAGATCGTGTTTCTACATTTGCATGCCTATGATGTTTAGGATGTATATTAATTTCCTGATTGTTTTGGTGTTACTGTAATTGACCTTTCTCTTTCAATTTAAATCAGCTCGAAAGTGATGAGCTCCAGTTAGACACAGACAAAACACCAGAAAAACCAAGTGCATTTCTTCAGGAAGTGGCTGATAGAAAACCTCAAGAAACACAGGCATTGAAATCTCCTCTGAAACAAGGTCTGCCCATTTAAACCAGCTTTGTCTGATTTATATGTTTTTTAGTGACTTTTACTGACAGAGTTTAAAATTAAATAACTTTTTCTGGATATGCCCTGTGTTAAACAATTTGTAAGACAGTGACAGTTGGAATGGGTGTGGGAGGGCAGGGCTTGAAAAAAGTGCCTTCTGGTCATCCGGGACTAGTAGATTCTCCTTGCCCAGGGCAAGCAATATTTGAGAGATACTTGTTCTAAGGGTAAGCTGGAATTCAAGTCTTTTTCGATCCCTGGGAGGATGGGTAGCTTAACAGCAGCTGTGAGAAGAGACTTACAACAAGTGAACGTAACTCCTTTAATAATGAAAACTATGGAGCTTTTTAAGAATGAGTTATACAATATCATGACTATTGTCACTGGCCAGTGAGCGTTTATTTTGTATGTTATGTTTATTGCACAGTATTAACAAGTTCTCCTGACCCCACCCCTGAAAGGGATGCTGTGCTGCAGGCAGGGTTGAGTGCATTACTAAGAGCTAAGGACACTCCAGTTCAAACACCAATGGTATGAAAGTATTTTATTTTCAAAAATGCCTGTATTAAGTAATGGCACATTTTCTTATAGCATGTTCAGTACTTTCTTAACTTGCTATTTACAATGCAGTAAATTTCAACCTGAGTATGAGGTAGAAACTACAAAATTGCTACACATCCATGGTGGATGTAATTAAAGTGCTAACGAGACAAGTTATGAGTGAAAAGGGCGGTTGTAAATCCTATTGGAATATTTGCTAAGATTTTTGTAAATTGTACTTCTTAAAGGTAAAACCAACCTTCCAGCCAAGGCCTGCTCCTCAAGGTGTAAAACCAGTCAAACAATCACTGTTGCTTCCTGCTAGACTCAAGGTGTGTAAAAAGGTTTTAATCAATTCTTTATAGTATTCAACCCATTGACCCCTGGGATTTTCTCTATTTTTGGTTCTATTCTCATGAGACTGGAGCCAAATGGTTCAGATCTTCATTTGAAGTAGCCTGCAGGGCAGGCATTTTTCCGTGTGTTTACGAGTTATTAGCTCGCAATCAAGTAGATTTGCCACCAAGTTGACTTAGCAAAAGTGGGCAGGAGGGGGTGGGGACAAGAGGAGATATTTTTCCTTCTCCTTCCCCTTCCCATTGCTCCTCTTTCAGCCTCACTCTAACTCCCTAAGTCGCCTTTTTGTCTCTCCCCAAGCCTCTTTTGAGTTTTAAATTGTGCTGATAGTAAATGACTTTAAAAGCATATTGAAAAAAAAAATAATTAAAGTTTGAGATAGGGGAAATTCACGATAACTGAGTTAGTCAGATTCAACTGTAAGGAGGAAACTTCATTCACCTATAGTAAAAGGGTTAACTTATAGAAAGATAGGGAAGTCAAAGAGAAAGTTAGAGTAGCCATTGTTTTCTTGCCAATGAAGCTCTGAATTGTTAGTGTTTTACTGTTATGTATATAGAAAACTGACCCTGGGTGAATTGCTTGCCTATGGTTTTAGTTTCAATTGCCATTTGAATGTATTAAAATAACTGCAGATATTATTTCTATCAGCTTAAGCGTCAGAGAGCTCAACAAGCTGCCAAACGAATTAAAGTACCTCAAGCTGTGGATCAGGCTCACTTTGCCAAAGAAACAGTTTCCTCCATATTGAAAAAGGCCCCTCCAGGAGAAGGGCTGGACAAACTGCAGCCAGGGGCACAATCAAGGACCCCGCCCAGAACACCCATAAAGGAAGGCCTTCGCACCCCAGAAAGAGTACACTACCGGGACATGGGTGACTATCTTTCACCGAGATCGCAGAGGAGAAGAGAATATGAGCAACAGGTTTGCTGGTTAATNTCTGAAATAGGGTATGGAAAATCACAGATTTTGTTCTGAAATAGGGTAAAGGTTTCAATTTTTAGGCTGCACACCCCTACCAAATGTAAAAGCATTGGGAACTACCTTTTCAATGAGCTCTATGGAATTTTGAGCAATGTTAGTTTACGGATGAGCCTGGAGACGGGGCATTTGCTCTCTTTTTCTGCTCTCCGGCCTCAGGGCATTTAGCCCATTTATTTGTCCCCTCCCCGAGAGGATTTGCCACTATTGACAGGGATAGGCACTACTGGAAATGACTGATGTACTGCTCGCAGGATTGATGCGGCTGTAGCCTAGACCTACAGTGAGGGACCAACATAGGTTTGGCGGGTTGCGGGATGGGAATAAACATAGTGGGGGGATGCGGGATTGAAAAAACCTATTTGATGTTGGATCCTCTGCAGTCATGATGGGATCAGTGATTTGTCACAATGAGACAAAACATCACAAAAGTGGGCTTTTATTAAACTAAGACCACTGTAGGAGAGGGAGATGTATAGTTTTTGGTGTGATTGCCATGGTAATTGAAGCGAGACGCGACGTCTTTTTTGTATTCAGGTTACGGCGCGTTCCTGTGTGATTGAAAGAGTCTGAAACCTAGAAGACTGGTCACATGGTTGTTTGAAACAAAATGGCGGTTTGCTTGTAGGGAATATAGCCTTCACTTCTTCGTAATATTTCTTCGTTTGTTTGCGATGGTATTTCCAGATTTCCAAGAATAGGCAGGTGGGTAAAGCAAGTGAAAAATGTAAAAATTCTACAATATTGGCGGGTTGCTTTTGGATCGAGCAAATTTTTTTCAGCAACCCAAAGTAGTCTTACATGCACCGATGGCCAGAGATGCACGTAGCAATTTGCTTAAAACTCAACTACTAACGATGATAAAATATGGTCATACCCTGTTACTGCTAGCAGCGCCCCCTAGACCTTTTCTAGGCAAAATTGAAGCAGTTACAAAGATGTCATCTTCATCAGAAAAGTTGGCTTTTTATGTGTGTGTTTATGTTCCGGATTGAACGCAACTGCTTTTAAGCTTATATTTGACTGAGCTATATATTTGACATTTTCATATGTGCCTCATATGTGACAAAATTTATAAATGTGTTCTATTGTGAACTTTTATTGTTGAGGACAATTTTGTGCTGTCGATCATAACGTGCGGGCCTCTTATTATCGTTCAATACTTCACGTGCCTTTAGGTATATGGAAAAGCTTCACCTCATCTATATAAGTCTTACCTCCCAGCACTGTCAGGGCTGATTTAGGGAGTTGAATAGCGATGTTATTGAAAATTGTTCAGAAAAGATTAAATTACGATTCCCCTAACAAAATGATCACTTGAAATCCTCAACTGAAGTGTGATCAGTTACAACTTAAAATGTATCTTATATGTAATCTGATCTGAGCTTCTTTCATACCTTTTGTAAATGTGTTTCAGGATCATGACAACTGGTATTCTCTCACAACCAGCCCAGGTGGGTTTTAACTTCCCAGGCTTAAGTCAACCAGTCAGTGTTCCTCAGCGTTCAATGCCGATACCACATGGTGGACCTGCCTCCCATCAAATGAACCAACTGCAATTTAACCTAGGAATACCAACATCTGCTGAGCAATTTACAACAAAGTTTAGAAAACCACAGCCAATAGTTATAGAGAAAATAAGTGAGCAGCCTCAAGTGCCACATGTAGTTCCTCATAGCCATGTGACTACTCCAGTTGTTTATCCTTTGGTGTCGTCAGTCTCATCATCTATATCAAGTGATCGGCTTGCACTTGCTGTTCATTTGGCCAAGAAAGATGTTAAAAAGTTAAAAGAAGTTGGCTTTGAGAATGTTTTTGTTTCACAAGAGGAAGAGACACAGAACAGGCATGTTACGGCTACAGGTAAAGAAAAAGGTGTTTCAGGAAAGAAGGTTAGAGGGAAGAGTGGCAAATCTAGACCTCAAGCTGTTTCGTCAGAAGACACTGTCACTTTGCGTGACAGGGTTCATAACACTGTAAAGAAGCAGGAAGCAGCAGGAAAGAGACAGCATAGGTTATACTTTTACCCAGCTCCTAGAGAAGAAGATGATTTTGATTCAGATGGAGAAAGGATGCAGGCTCATGAAATCAGGAAACTTCGTAAAGAGCTCCAACAGTACATGAAACAAATGGAGGAATTGAAAAATGAGAGACCTGAAGTCTTGAAGAACAAAGATAAAAGGCTAAAAAGAAGGAGGGATGGAGATGTGAGACTCTCTGATGAAGATGTAGACCAGCGGCAAGTGGTGAGAGCTGAAGAACAGGCTGCCCGGTCGGCAAGGATGCTTTATGTGCTACAGAGACAGGTGATTAAGTTTGAATTTTACTATAGAGGTGTGTAGTACCTACTTGACACTTAACCTCATACATCACTGGAAGCCATGTCCAGCTTTTTGTAGTTAATGTGACCTCAATTTTTATGGTGACAGTTTCACAAAAATTAAGTCTTGAAAAATTACAACTAGAGAAGCTTACAACCAAGTTCTTAAAGTTTAGGTAAATGTTTCGGTTGACGCACGATTGGCTACTGGGAATATGTGGCAGGTTGGTAACAAACATGACATACAATGATGCACTACAAAAACTGGATTCACCTTAGGCCTAGTTAAAATGTGGGGTTAAAAATACCAAAAGGGATACTGGAAGTAACATATACAAAATACACTGCATTACAGAATAGTTTTATGCATCTTAAAATACTTACTGTAATTTTAAAACAGACATGAACAACAAAAAATCTAAGTTTGGTTTAAGTGGGAAGGTCAGCCTAGCCTGCCTGCCTTTCATGTCTCATTCCAAAACATTTTATTGCACTTCCATATCCAAGTTCTCACACATGTAAGTTAATTCAATAGATGTTTGTTTTCTTTTCATCCTCCTTTTAGGTTCGGGAAATTGAGGATGAGCTTAATAAAAAGAGAAGAGGAATAAAACATACCAAGAAGGTACATTTCTTAGGGGTCGCACATTGGGATATGTTAGGTTATTGCGAGACTTTTCCCACTGCCTTATAATATAGTAACTGTTAGAACTTTACATTTGATTCAAGAGAGTTAGTTCTTAGACAAAGTGTTCTGAGTCCGGTTGGACTGTTTGCATCATCTCATTTTCAAAGGGTTTCTGGCAATTGTCTTTCTCAATAAAGAACTGAGAGTCTCTAAAATTTAATATTCTTCCTTCCAGATTGGCAGTTTAAAGCCTGAAGTGATAGGTTTTGTATGGCAAAAACTGTAACTATTGTAAATTAAAATGCTCTAGTCTAACCTAAAGACTGATTTTTAGAGCCAGACTTTGAGTCGTCTGGCAGCAGCACACAGGGGAGCTGTCAGAGCACTGCAGACATTTGTTAGCCATGCTCCTCTTCAGCCCAAGGTTGGTCATGGTTTGCCGCCAATGTACCAAGAACTGTCTGCCCTCATTAGACAGTTGTCACTTTTGGCAGCACAGTTACACATCGGTGGAGAAGAACTCTTTGATGAGGTGAAGGGAATTGAGAATGAGGGAAGAAAGGTCAGTGAGCTCTTTACCAGTTCCTTGCTGGTATGTTAAACTCTTCAAAACTTACCACATATCCTTGTTTAGAACTGTTGAATTTACAGTTTCTATCCTGCCATTTACTGTGAAAATTCGGTTTTGCAAGTCATGTACCAAGCCAGCTTTCTTCCTGAAAAATAGCATCTAAAAAACGATCCCTGTTCATAGAGATTAACAATGATTTAAATGAAAGACTTTTGCCTATTGATTCATAATTTACCAAATACTGTAGCCCATCAATCAATGGATGCAACGTCTGGAACATTAAGGTTTAGGTTTGTAAATAGTTCCTTAATCTTAACTTTTAGGTGTACGCAATTAGTAGAGGGTTTGACCCTCAGCTATTTTACCAAGACACATAATTTAATAAAGTTGTTGTTGACTACAGCTACATGCATGTAGCTTTCTACACAGATCGTGTTTCTACATTTGCATGCCTATGATGTTTAGGATGTATATTGATTTCCTGATTGTTTTGGTGTTACTGTAATTGCCCTTTCTCTTTCAATTTAAATCAGCTCGAAAGTGATGAGCTCCAGTTAGACACAGACAAAACACCAGAAAAACCAAGTGCATTTCTTCAGGAAGTGGCTGATAGAAAACCTCAAGAAACACAGGCATTGAAATCTCCTCTGAAACAAGGTCTGCCCATTTAAACCAGCTTTGTCTGATTTATATGTTTTTTAGTGACTTTTACTGACAGAGTTTAAAATTAAATAACTTTTTCTGGATATGCCCTGTGTTAAACAATTTGTAAGACAGTGACAGTTGGAATGGGTGTGGGAGGGCAGGGCTTGAAAAAAGTGCCTTCTGGTCATCCGGGACTAGTAGATTCTCCTTGCCCAGGGCAAGCAATATTTGAGAGATACTTGTTCTAAGGGTAAGCTGGAATTCAAGTCTTTTTCGATCCCTGGGAGGATGGGTAGCTTAACAGCAGCTGTGAGAAGAGACTTACAACAAGTGAACGTAACTCCTTTAATAATGAAAACTATGGAGCTTTTTAAGAATGAGTTATACAATATCATGACTATTGTCACTGGCCAGTGAGCGTTTATTTTGTATGTTATGTTTATTGCACAGTATTAACAAGTTCTCCTGACCCCACCCCTGAAAGGGATGCTGTGCTGCAGGCAGGGTTGAGTGCATTACTAAGAGCTAAGGACACTCCAGTTCAAACACCAATGGTATGAAAGTATTTTATTTTCAAAAATGCCTGTATTAAGTAATGGCACATTTTCTTATAGCATGTTCAGTACTTTCTTAACTTGCTATTTACAATGCAGTAAATTTCAACCTGAGTATGAGGTAGAAACTACAAAATTGCTACACATCCATGGTGGATGTAATTAAAGTGCTAACGAGACAAGTTATGAGTGAAAAGGGCGGTTGTAAATCCTATTGGAATATTTGCTAAGATTTTTGTAAATTGTACTTCTTAAAGGTAAAACCAACCTTCCAGCCAAGGCCTGCTCCTCAAGGTGTAAAACCAGTCAAACAATCACTGTTGCTTCCTGCTAGACTCAAGGTGTGTAAAAAGGTTTTAATCAATTCTTTATAGTATTCAACCCATTGACCCCTGGGATTTTCTCTATTTTTGGTTCTATTCTCATGAGACTGGAGCCAAATGGTTCAGATCTTCATTTGAAGTAGCCTGCAGGGCAGGCATTTTTCCGTGTGTTTACGAGTTATTAGCTCGCAATCAAGTAGATTTGCCACCAAGTTGACTTAGCAAAAGTGGGCAGGAGGGGGTGGGGACAAGAGGAGATATTTTTCCTTCTCCTTCCCCTTCCCATTGCTCCTCTTTCAGCCTCACTCTAACTCCCTAAGTCGCCTTTTTGTCTCTCCCCAAGCCTCTTTTGAGTTTTAAATTGTGCTGATAGTAAATGACTTTAAAAGCATATTGAAAAAAAAAATAATTAAAGTTTGAGATAGGGGAAATTCACGATAACTGAGTTAGTCAGATTCAACTGTAAGGAGGAAACTTCATTCACCTATAGTAAAAGGGTTAACTTATAGAAAGATAGGGAAGTCAAAGAGAAAGTTAGAGTAGCCATTGTTTTCTTGCCAATGAAGCTCTGAATTGTTAGTGTTTTACTGTTATGTATATAGAAAACTGACCCTGGGTGAATTGCTTGCCTATGGTTTTAGTTTCAATTGCCATTTGAATGTATTAAAATAACTGCAGATATTATTTCTATCAGCTTAAGCGTCAGAGAGCTCAACAAGCTGCCAAACGAATTAAAGTACCTCAAGCTGTGGATCAGGCTCACTTTGCCAAAGAAACAGTTTCCTCCATATTGAAAAAGGCCCCTCCAGGAGAAGGGCTGGACAAACTGCAGCCAGGGGCACAATCAAGGACCCCGCCCAGAACACCCATAAAGGAAGGCCTTCGCACCCCAGAAAGAGTACACTACCGGGACATGGGTGACTATCTTTCACCGAGATCGCAGAGGAGAAGAGAATATGAGCAACAGGTTTGCTGGTTAATATGTAGTTGCGTAAAATAGCAGGTGGGGTTGTTTGTTTGTGTGTATGGGTAGGTAAGCGCTAAGAGTGACAATATACGAATAATATTTATCCACTCGTGGGGTTCCTATATTAAGCAGTTTTCAAAGTACAGCTGAGCCTCTCTATCTCGAACTCTTTAAGACAACAAGAGAAAAAAAAAATTCGAGATGGCGGACAGTAAATGATTGAAAAAGGCGTTTCCAATGGAAAATGAGTTTAGTTCCAACTAGCCGGGAGACTGTGTTCGAGACAGAAAAGTTCAACTGAAGATAAAAAAGTAAGACTACTATTAAAGAAGTTTTTCTGCCGATAAAGCTGATATACTTAACTTTGGCCAAGGAGGGATTGGATAACGGAAAGAAATAACCAGCGAACACGAGTCTGTGAAAACTGTATCCTTTCTGCCTTGACGAGGGATGTAAAGCACGTTTTCTTGTCTCTAGCTACCAAATCCGAGAAGTCCAAGATACGCTCGCAGAATGCTTCCTGTGGATCATGAACTGATAGAAAGAGAGGTGGCCAGGTAAGTGACACAGCAAAGGTTGGACTTGCCGTAGGTTTTGCCGTGCACAGCGATTTTGCTCGTATTTCAACATCATCAGCATTTAGGAAAACCAACGTTGATTTTGAGGGCAGGAAGAATTTTTTTTCAATATCGATGGGACTTGGATTGTCGCCGTTGTGATAAACAAACATGAAGAGAACATGATAAATAGATTAAAATAAATATAATTAGCAATAGAAACTCATGAAAAACGAAAAACAAATTATGGACAATTTTCTTTTCAGGCAAAGGTGGCTTGATGAAGAGGCGGAAAGAAGGGTGAAGTTCATCACGTTTATCACTTTCATTTATTTTACTTTTAAAATGTATAAAGTAGATTACTATTTCCAGTTTAAATGCTTTTGTCTTTTAAAACCAGATTTATGAGTTAGAAAGAGAGCGACGTTTGGAAAATATGCGACGGGATCGAAGGAGGTATGTATTTGTTCTTGTAGGATTAGTTAATGAACCAGTCAAGGACGTGTGAATTTAGACAAATCACGTTATAAGATGTCTGGATTACAGTAGCTTTCCTACAACCAGAGTTTAATTACAGGCATTAACTAACTACAGGATTCTTGATTTCAGCCCAGAAGCCGTACTTTCAAAGCGTGTAATAACCGAGACAGAACAAGCCATCCGATCTCGATTGAAACCTCTTTTGGATCGCGCAGAGGTACGTGTGAACTGTCTGAACTTTGGGTAAATGAGGTTGAACTGGTAGTAGCCTCGTGAATTCTGCTCTGTTTACTCACGGTAAACGAGGTTCCACGGATGTCTAAAATCTTTGTGTAGACTGAGCTGAAAACAAATAGGGTGTGTTTTACGGTAACCGGTCGTTTCACCCGATAGCCAGTTCGCCCGATGTCAGTTCAACCGGACTATAAGGACTGTAAGTCTTTTCACTCGGACTGAAAGTTTAAAAAAGGATGTGTTAACTTTTCTTTCTTTAAACTAAAGGAGCGAAAAAGACAACATTGTGGGTATAATGAAACAAAATTACAAAAAGCATGCCTACCGGTATTTCTCGTTCTTTAATCCACTGACCACGGAGCTAACAGTGCTGGCGAACTGACTTTCGAGCGAAAAGACCGCAATCTTATTTTACTACACAGTACAGCAAAACAAACAATTGATTATCATTTTTCACTCACGTGTAGGCCATAGCGGAGACGGAGGTGAAACGAGAAACGGAACAAAAAAGATCTCTACAGCATCAACTTGGTAAACTCGCCTCACAGACAGTAAGTTAACGAACATTACTCGAGTGGTTTTATTTTTAAGTCATCTTGAACTCTTTGTTAGGCAAAGGCCTTTGACGATCGCGTTCTTTCTTTCTTGAAAATCATCTCAACAGACAATGAATCAAGCGGACATTTTAGCCGAAAAAATTCTAGACGATATTTTAGAGGAAACAGTTCTTGAAATGCAAAGGTGAGTGAGTCTTGCTCTGCAACCATATGAAAGTAGAAAGTTTAGTGCTCAAGAAGGTCTGGATCTGTGTTATCCTCTCAGTTCTAGTTTCTTGTATTTAACCTCTTACTATCTCGGGAGGATCGTCACTGGAGAATATTGGCCGAAGGTCGTGGCAGTTCGGACCGAGCGCAGCGAGTTCCGTACAAATACGACCGAGGGCCAATATTACCCAGTACGGCTCGAACAAGCTAAGTTAGTAAATAATTTATCATGTGGCACTCGAAAACAAGAAAATACACGGCTTGTAAGTGGCAAAGAAATCCCGACCGAAAAAAAAAAAATCGGATTACTAAGATTTACCTCCAGAATACCTTGCCATAAACCTTGCCGTAAAAAAAGAGTTATTTCATTAGATTTGTACTTGGCACTTGTAAATCATAATCCACAATGTTTAATGTGGCATTTTCCTATTGGTTTGCAGGTTAGAGGTAGAGGACGAGGCCGAAGTGCAAGCTGACACTTTGCAAAACAGCTCCACATTAGAAAATATATTACAGAGACTGCAGAGTTTTGAGGTAATGAGCTGCACAAGGACAAATGTTTTAAAACCATTGGGAAAGTACTATTTCTTCTTTCTGTGGCGACTCACATTGATGCGGATGAGCGTTAGGTAGATTTTCATATAAGTTCAAATATCCTCCTATAAGGTTTTAATAGTTAATCCTTGGCCAAACGGACTCGCAAGTAGGCAAAGTTGAAAAAACTTGGGTCTACTCGTGATGACTTGCGCTCACTTAAGTCGAAATCAAATTTGCACGAAGTCGACGCAAGTTTTTCACCGATTGGCCACCAAATCCAAGTAATAATAATAATTTACATTTATATTGCGCAGGCTACATGAATATATGATCACCTGCGCATTACAAATGTGAGCTATAAAACAATTAAAAACTTTAAAGTATGATAATGTAAAATGAGCTTAAAACTACAACGCAAGTTGAGTGTCGTCCATTCGTTGTTATAGCAACCTATTAGCCACTGAAATACTAAGCCCGTAGCCTTGAAATGGGGTTTTTACGACTTGCGTGTACTTGCGAGTCCATTTATCCACCCAGGCAACGCAAGTCTCTACGCAAGTTCAACTTGCGGCTACTTGCGAGTCCGTTTGGCCAGGATTTTAGTTGCGAAATAAATTGTGACTGAATAGTTGTTGTTTTCAGAAAGTCGAGGAGGAGATTAGACAGCACTGGGTTCATGTGAAGTACGCTGACGTGGAGAAATCGTCTGGAGAACCTATCGTAGGTACGTATGCAAGCATTTATGTTACTCAATAATATTTGTCATATACAGCTGTTTTGAGGATGGCTGTACTACAAAGGCGTACAAGCTTACGCGACAATGTCGAGAGGTATCACGGGCTGTGTGTTTACTGTTGCTTGATTGAAGCTCAGTGTGTTTCAGCGTGATAGAAGGAAACAGTACAAACACGTGTTGTCGGTTGTCTTTGACGAAAGAGATGTGTGATTCACGGGCACGAGTTAGCCTCCATAACAACCGCCTCTTTGCTGTCTTTTCCCAACGAAAAATTACATTTTAATACGCGCCACAATATTTAATTTGTAAAAAATCTTGTTTTAGCTGGGTCTTGACTGTATCCCAACATAGCTTCTTATCTCGGTGAAATTTACTTTTTTCAAGTAGAGAAAAGTACTCGACCGGCCGGAGATCCCAAACCCATCGTGTTTACCAGACCAGACGAAACCGAAAGCCATCGTTTGCTGTCGAAAAATACCCGAGGAGTTTCCGACGAGGACCGACCAGACGACAGGAAGCCATTACGACTGCTGGATGAAATTAGCGAAACAAGTAGTTTTTCCTCCCTTATGGAAGGTTAGTTTTCCGTTTCATTGAAACAGAGGCTCAGTTTTGTTGACACTACAGTAGTAATTGTTGTTTTTGTTTGTTTATTAGGATCTACCGAACGCTCGTCCGCACAAAGCTTCGTTTATAAAGGTCCTCAAAAGAGAAGTCTACAAAACCAGCCCCTCCCTGCTGGCACTCGGCCCACAGTGCTCCTCGATGTGCCTAAGGAGATGAGGGCCAGTATAGTGTCCTACAGGAACAGATATAATAAGTATCTACGAGACACTTCTACTCACGAGCAAGGAACGTTTGACCCATGGGGACTGGTGAATAGGTACGTCTGTAGGATAGCTACTGTTTGGAGAGTCAAAATAAAAAGCAGTATTATTACAAATTAACGTGCTAGAAAAGCAGGGTTGGGTTGATAAAAAAGCCTTTTTTCGGGCAGTTATTCCACCCTTCCGCTTCTGCGGTATCTGAAAATCATCGTCTCTGAAATAGAACATGACCCAAATGTGGCTGCCGTAGTTTCTTGATAGCCCCACCCGACCCCACATCATCGCAGGACAATCAACATGGTGCCTGCTACTAATAACCCAATAGCACTTCCGTGACAGTGATAGTGTGTATGGCCTGTGTTACTGGTATGTTCTTATCTCTTGGCATTGATTGGTTGCAGGATCAGTGAAGACTTGTTAGAGGACACTTTACAACAAGTTGGAAATGAACTTGATCACGTGTGTGATGATTTCGCTGAGGCTTTGTATAACGAGGAATTTGCTTCTGTCAGTACTGATACATGATAATCATTGACAAGGCAAAAAACAAGACTCGATTTTTCCAACTATGTATATGTCTAGCTTAATAAAGTGCTTAAATTTGCGTGTTACTCTTGTCCTCAAATGTTTTTCAAGTTCTAAAATGTTATCCAATGTAACGAAGTAATTTTGATTATTTTTCGTGCTGTTTTCCCAGACCCCATGTGTTGTGCTATACGAAACCCCGTTCATTATACCAAATGTTTCTGTGGGTTCCCCCAAGCGTTTGCTCAGCCAGACCGTGTGCTCACTGTGCCGTTACGGTTCCACTGCGTCCAGCCATTCCTTTACACAGCCTTGTGCGTTCCACTCGTACGTCTACTAACAGTTTTTCTAGTGCTTAAGGGTGCATGAATTCTCTTAGAGAACATGGAACAACATCTCCTATTTTCGAACTATTACTGTCGCAAGAAAAACGTCATTAGAATGATTTTGAATTAACGCATTCCGATTATTTTTCACGGCACATTTGCTAAAGTAAGATTGGTCGGCTGTCGATAACAACTACATTCTAGGTGCAGATTTGCGTGGTTTGATGTGGGTCCGCCGTGACCAAGTGGTTAAAGTATCTGACCGCTGTTCGGAAGGTCGTGGGTTCAACATCCGCCAGGTAACTCAGTTTTGTGGTTTTTTTTTATCCTATGCTCGTGTTCAACTGAATAGATATTTGTTTCGTGTAACATCTATTTTCTTTCTTTTTCTATATTTAAACTAAGTTAGCTTTTAAAGATAGGGGACAGAACCAGGGTTACCCTCGTATATATCTTGCTTTTCACAACAAACACAAAACGCAGCTAAATTCAAAACAAGGAATTTTTAGTTGAGGCTCTGCCCTCTTAATTAGTCAGACAACATTGATTTTCTATTATTAATAATGCTTTAGAAATACACAGGCAAGTGAAAACTAACGATATAATGTTCCGACGGTTCGGCGACCTCATGACGCCATTATCAAGGAATGAATAAAAAGAGCGAATTCAAAAAAGTTAAGACCTGTAAATTTACATAGAGGAAGTTAAGTTAAATGAATACTTTAGCTCGGGTCGAATCTGTGATTTTGGGTCACTTTTTCTGACTTATAATTCATGATAGGCCAGCCATTTAGTAGCCCCGCAGTTTACTTGCGGTTAACATTTATTTTAAAGGTAGGGTGACTTATACATGGGCGACGAAACGTGGCCCTAACGTGAAGTACTTGTCCTATTTCTGAACATAGCTTGTCCCATGCACATGTGGCATGACGGTGAGGGAATAGTGTGGTAAAAAAGTAAATCATTTTAAAATCACCTATTATCTGTTTGAATGTTAAAAATGAACGAGAGGGATAGTCACCTGAAAAACCGTGAAAAAGCTAATAATATTTGAGAAATGACCGTCTGTTTATTTAGCACAACTCGGTGGGTTCTCGTGAGCTCCCTATGAACAAATAAAATGCAAAAATTTCGCAGAATAAAGCATGCAAAGGGTGTTGCCCCCAAACTTCGGGACTTAATTGTTAGCTGATTGGTCTAATCTTATTTTGGATATTCATGATGGCTGTCGCTGACCTGAGGTGCTTGTTTGTCATTTTGAGATGTTTGCTGTCGGAGATGTGTACTGTCCCCTTGTACACTGACGAGAAGCAATTCTTACTTTGGAGAAGAAGTGGCGCCGACGTTTGAGAAAGAGAAGTTGGTTGACACTCATTTCTGCTATTGGTTAGTATCAATTTCTTTACAGTCTACCCTCGAAGGTAATATTTCAACCAAAAATAACGGCTCCAAGTCCTACCACGTGCGCTTGCCGGACCCGGTTTTCTTTTCGTGTCCTTGAACTACACAACAACCGCATGGCTTTAGTAAGAAGGTAAAACAAACATTAGAAGCTAGTTCAAGAACCATACGAGACGCCAGGTTCTTAGCAAATTTTCCGACAAGAGTTTGGCTTTCTTCGTGAAAGTGTGGTTTCTTTGTCAAAGTTTGTCTTGTGCTTGTCAACGCGCACTCGTGTTTTAACAATTTAGTGTGAATTCTTTAACTCCTTGTTTACTTGTTTATTCCTTACCCAATTTTTATCTGCTCTATTTTCAGGGGGTAAACGCCTGAAGACAGGGAAGTCTGCAAGATATGGAAGATCAAAATGATTGAAGCAGGGAGGATGAAGACTAAGTTAGGAAAAGCATTTGAGAATTTGGTTAAACTGAAATCTCTCCTTCATTAAATGGCAGCCTTGAAACTAGAGAAGAGACAATCGAGCTCAAAATTTCCTAGTTTAAAATAGTTTCGTTCGATAAAAGTTTTATTTATTTTTTCTAGACTGAAATATTTGCATTCGAGTGACATTCGGGCATGAAAAGAAAATTAAATTCGGTAATGATTGTTAATTAATTCTGCCATTTTTAACTGAAAGGTTTCAACCGCTTTCGAGTTATCATTTAGTACATGTTTTCAAATTGTGGGGAGTTTCATTCTTTTCTCGAGCGATCATCAATTTGATTAAATTATGTTTTATCAGTCGGTATTTGCATGCTTTACTACTTGTATTTTCTCAGACTCGAGTATTTTTTGATTTTTTTTTAACATTCCAAATTGTTGTAAAATCGCTCAACTCTCCTAAGTTTGAAAACCGTCACTAGGCGATGACCTTTGTAGAGTATTTTAAGGTGGCGCTGCATGTTGATCATGTCAGTTCTAACAAATTCTGTTTTGATATAAATTGACAAACAACACAACTCTGAACATTTGAATTTTTCGTGTTCTCCAAAATCGCATCAAGCACCAAGTTTTACGTAGGCCTATTTTCAATTTATAAATGTCTGTTGGAGGGCAATGCCCTTGCTCAAAAAGAAAATTTAATGACTGGTCCTGGAAACTGAATTGTTTTAAACTTTATTTTGTCGGAGAATAATTTCTACTTTTCAAATCTTAGCATTTTCAGATACGGAATTAAAGAAGTGTCTTGATTGATTCTTCGATTTGCATTCGAATGGACGTGAACGTTTATGATTTTTCTCAGAAACGTCAAGTTGATAATTTATCTGCTGTAAATTGTGTATGTTAAAAAAACAATTTCCTTGCTACAAATTAATTAATGACCCAATTGATCTGAAAATGCTGCAGTTTGAAGTGAATTAAGAAAACGATTCCTATCGTTTCTTTCTCAATTCCAGGAGTTGTTAATTAACGATTCGTGTGTAAATCTGAATTTGTCCGAAACTTTATTCAAGTTAATTTTGAATATTTGAAACATTTGTTGACATGATCACAACATGTTCTCAGAATTTCACGCTTTCTTCATTGTTTCGCTCGTGTGTTTTTTTTTCGTTTTGCTCGCCGTAGTAAAAAGCGCTACCATTTTTTGTCGTTTGTTGTATATTGACATGCAGAGCCACCTTGAAACTGAATAAATAAATTTAGAAGAGGATATTGGGTTTTTGGATTGATCTTCGTTTCCTGAAAACACTAGAGTTATATTCTTTTATACATTTCTGTACGGAAAACGTTCGGCTTACATTCAGTTTTTTCGTAAGGGGAATAAGCGCAGTAAGGTCAATCAGAACCGAATATATCCTCTTGGTTAACTTTCAGCGAGGCTGTAATGAATTATGTCTGGTATCAAGCAACTCTTTTATTATCGCTTTTTAAAAATGTAGGTCTAACTGTCTGATTTTTCAAATTGATATACTTGGCTTTCATTTGTACTATCTGATATTTTGAGTTTAAGAAATGTAACTTAAATTGTCAGAATATTCTAAAATGTTGAAGCTGCTATCTGGACTGATTAACATTTTACCGAAAATACTCACGAATAGATTTTTTGCTTTTCGAAAATTTGTAGCTCCAATTGTTTGATTGTCCTGAAATAACATTGCTTTCGTCCGCAACTGACAGACAGTATTCACTATTACATCTTTGATTTTCAAAACTTTGCTCCAATTGTCTGATTCATTGAAAATTTTATCGCCATCGTTTTTATTCACTATTACTTATCAAGAACGTAACTCTAATTCATATAGGCTTTTGTTCTTGGGCCATCGTAGTTTAACGAGGAATAAAACACAAATAGCGGTGATAAACATATTAAACTTACGCATTTTAATAACTTGACGTTTCGTATGCTACGCAACATACATTTTTACATTTCATATATAGTTTTCAAAAATTGTAACGGTCTTTATTCTACTTTTGAAAATGTATGTTGCGTAGCATACGAAACGTCAAGTTATTAAAATGCGTAAGTTTAATATGTTTATCACCGCTATTTGTGTTTTATTCCTCGTGTAACTCTAATTGTCTCATTCTTCTAAAACTATATCGTTATCGTTTGAAACGGACAAAAATTTTCTCAACTTCACCGTTCACTTAGGGGCCAAACCACCCCCCTAATGTTTCATGAAGGCTATATTTGCTTGGTTTATATATTTCTGAACCAAGTTTGGCAGATGAGCTTTCTTTGTCCTC